GTGTGTGAGTGAGTGCTTGAGTGGGTGTGTGAGTAAGTGTGTGAGTGAGTGTGTGAGTGAGTGCTTGAGTGGGTGAGTGAGTGAGTGTGTGAGTGATTGGGTGAGTCAGTTTGTTTGTGGATGCAGATTAGATTCCAAGTTGAAATTGTTTCATTTTGTAGGTAAGGTTTTATTTTCTTCTACTTTCAATGTTGTAGTTGATAAATATAGGCCCTTCTGAATATTGATATTTCTTGTTATCTGTTTTTTTCTGGGCATCGTGGGGGGATTTCTTCTTATCCATCTTTTCCCGAGAGTCATAGTTTTGTGCTTTAGTGCGTTTGTAGCTCTAGGTTCTGATAGGGAGAAAACTGCTCATGACCTGTGTTACTGCAGACAGACTTGAAGGAGTCCATGGAGATAGATACAGAGACCCTTCCAGTGAGGCCGTGCTGTGGAGTAGAGCACTGGGCTCCACCACAACTTAATAAAGACAAGTAGGGAGTGAGCTAGGGTTCTGGTAGCCACAGAAGAACACTTCTCCTGATCTGGCTCACTCAAATTAGCTTCCTCCAAGACAGAGAGGAAAACTCAGTGTCAGGCCAAGTCAGCATAGGAGAGCAGTGTCTACTCCATCTTCTAAGGGCCCTTGGCTAGACTGGGAAATAGAATTGACAAAGACAGAATGACAGGGAAAAATAGCTTTAATGTCTTTCTGAGGCACTGCAGTATTTAGAAATAAAGACCCAAATTAGCAGGGAACACGACTTCTTTTTATGCTCTTTGATAGAGTAAATAGTCATAGAGAAGTGTGACCAGACAAGAGGTGACCTAGGCTTAGGGAGCTGTGCAAGGCTTATTTGCTCAGATTCTTCAGAAGTAAGGCTGTCTGTATCTGAGCATGAAGCTGGCGAAAGTCAAGAACAAAACTTAGTCAAAGCAGGAAGGCATTGGGAGTTCAGAGAAACTCTCCTGTTTTCCTGAGTCTCTGATGCCCCTGCTTGGCCCACTCAGTATGCTGGAGGGACCATACGTCAGAGGAGGCTGGTACAGCCCTGTCAATGGAAGACCCTGGAGGCTGCAGAGGTAGCTCTGTAGCTAAGAGCACCGGCTGCTCTTACAGAGGACCCAGGTTAGGGTCCCAGCACCTGCGTAATGACTCAGCCACCTGGAACTCAAGTTTAGGGGATTCTACGCTTTCCTGTGAACACTCTAGGCACTAGGCATCCATATGGTGCACATGTAGATATGAAAGCACAACACTCATATACATGAAATAAACACACTTTTTAAAAGAAAAAGAAAGAATTCATGGGAGCCTGACCAAAAGTTTTTACCAAAGGGAGAAATCTTTATACAATTCCAAGTAGGAAATATGGCTTCTGATTCTAAGAGTTTTTCTTGAAGTTGCTCCTGATAGCATCCTCTCGCCTGCTTCTTAGCTAGCACTCCGGGTCCTCTGTCAGAACTCCTGTGCGCATCTGCTCCATTCCCCCTCCTTCTCCCTACACCTGGGAGGTTTGTATCTTTGCTCTCTCACTCTCTTCATCTTGCTTCACAATCAGTGGGGTTTGTTCAAAGGTTTCTTCTTTGTGGCTTGTTGCCGCTAGGTTCCTTTGCTTTTTCTTACCCATTGCATGCAGTGTGTTCTAATTATCTTAGTTACCCTCTCATATCTCCTGGTTTTCTTTTTTGATGAAAACTGCAGAGCTAATTCTGAGCCCTGAGGATTGGGGATAGAGGGTTGGCAGCGTGAGCCTCAAGGTGCCGTAATCTAGATGAAGTGCTTTGTTGGGAAGCCATCTTTGACAATGGAGCCTGTTCCCGAGGTTGTAAATAACTTAGAAAAGGCTTTTTTGAGTTCTTCAGGAAGGGTAAAAACCTCACCAACAACATTGTGTAAACTGATGTGGAGAGGGAATCTGCCCGTGTTCAAGTAGTCTGCATTTTCCTCACATACTATCTCTGCTTCCATCCGTGCCTGTTTTACACTTTTGGAAGATAGAGTCCTTTCTGTTAACAGGCTTAGATCACATGTCAAACTGCTCAAAGTAAAAATGGAACTTGAATAGCTGGAAAGTTTCTATTTGGGGGCTTTGTTTGGGATTCTTAGTGTTGAGGATTAAACCCAGGGCCTCACATGGTCTACACTTAGCTATAGCCACAGCCCTGAATATTTGTTACACAGGTTTTCAATCTTTTGTTTGTCTTTTTGCTTATTTTAACCTCCTTTCCCCTTCTGCCCCCACTTCTCCCAGATTCCTGATACCCCACATCCGTAACTTTCAGGGACTTCTCTCAGGTGATCTAGGCTCTTCTCATCTTTCTTTGTGTGTTTAGGTCTCACCTCTCATTTCAGCATCTGAAGCCCTGGAGTTGTGGTCTTCCCGTCCATTCTTTCCCTTCCTGGGAGGCTGTGCCATTACAAAAACAAAGAAAAAAACCTTTCCTGATCATCTCATTGGGGTTTAAGTAGGAAAACAGATGCAGATATACACTCTGCTATCTTTAACCAAAACCCAGCATTGAGTCCCTAAGTTTTAAATATAAATATGCAGTTATATTTTCCCTACCACCTAAATTGTTCATTATTGGAAGTTTTACTTAAAATATTCCAGGAGCATAAAAATCAATCTAAATCAGACAGAACGGTAATGTTTCTGAAGCTAAGTAAAATTAAGTTTGAACTACATTCTCCGCTATGAATTGCTATCTTCTGTGTCACTATCTAAAACGGAGAGAGTAGTGGAACCATCCCAGGGCAGTGTACGGGGTAAATGTGCAGTCCTCACAAGCCCCTGAAGTCAGTGCCTGAGACCAGGAAACCCATGGGCCAAGATCAGGTGCCACTAAGAGCTGAGTGCTGGGACTAGAGGGAGCCCTGCCTGTCAGGAGACTGAAGGGTGAGCAAGCAAGGCAGTGTGCAGCCTGTGAAATGCGAGTGTAGTTCAAGACACATGAGTGAAACAGGGAAGCCACCAGTCCCAAGGACGAAATCTTTATGTGGCTGAGAAGTCAAGAGGTGCTTTGCAGAACAAACTAGTTAGACTTTTTGTTTACTGTTCGTATAGATATAAAACTTATGTAAATATAAATAAAGCTCTTGACTTAAAGATGTCATAGTCAGTTTTGAAGATTAAAGGGTTTTTGTTTGCAATATCAGTTATAGACAATAATGGGTTTCGTGATGACACTTTCGTTTATGTATATAATGTATTTCCTACTTACCCCTTACTATCCTCTGTCCTCTCTTGCTCCCCTCCCACCCTGCTGACTCCTTTCTTCCTCCCAACTGGTCCCCCTTCCACTTCCACATCATTTATTTCTCTCGCTCTGTGTGTGTGTGTGTGTGTGTGTGTGTGCATAGGAGTGTGCACATGCATTTCTACCAATGAATTTGATTAGGATTACTTACAAGGGCATAGATGAAGGGTTATTTAGAGCTTGGGCAATCAAACCAGTGGCTGCACTACCAAAGAAAAGCACACATCAAGTTCTACATACCCATATTTACGATTATTTATGGGTTCTCATGTGATTCTAAAGGCTTCTGTATCCTTGTTTCTGTATCACATTGTTTTAAATATTTTTATTGTTTACAAACACTCTTGATATTAATAGGCACCTCACCTTTATTTATTTAGGCTTTTTTAGTCAGTGTTTGCACTACATATATGTGTGGTGCTGCAGAGGTCAGAAGAGACAGTTAGATTTCCATGTAACGAGAGTTAGAGATGGTTGTGAGCCACCGTGTGGGTACTGGGGACCAAACTTGGGTTCTTTACAAGAGCAACAGGCACTCCTAACTGCTAAGTCATCTCTCCAGCCTTTACACTTACCTTAAAAGTAAGTGGAAATATGTTGGCTGAGGTTTCTATCCCTCCCAATCCCACAGCCGTTCCATCCCAAAGAAACACATAGAGGTCTACATTAGTCATAAACTGGTTGGCGTATTAGCTCAGGCTTCTTATTAACTCTTTCTCCATCTTAAATTAGCCCATGATTCGTGTCTGTGTTAGCCATGTGGCTTGGTACCTTTATCAGTGAAGCATTCTCATCTTGTTTCCTCTGCATCTGGGTAATGACTGCAGATGGACCTTTCCTCTTCCCAGAATTCTTCTGTTCTCATCGCCCCACCTTTACTTCCTGCCTGGTTGCCCTGCCTATACTTGCTGCCTGACTAGTGGTCAATCAGCAGTTTATTAAAATACAAGTAACAAATCTTTGCAGGGTATCAGACCATTGTTCCACGGCAGAAACAAATACATTTAACGATGTTTCTCTTAAATTTTATATAAATACTAGTAGAGTAAATTTTATTTTTGAAACTTATAGCATTGTGCCAAATATTTATATAGAGCACTTAGGTATTTGCCTATGAATAGTATTTAATATCATAGAAAATATAATAAAGTAATGAAAACTTCAAAAGTCAGTTTTGTTTTTAATTATTAGTGAAAGAAATTGAAAAGCTATGTTCTTACTAAAAGTACTATTTCTCAGTAATCTTAATTTTAACTTTTTTTAAAATTTTTTTATGGTTTATTTAACTTTATTTTATGTGCATTGGTGTGAAGGTCTCAGATCCCCTGCAACTGGATCTTCAGACAGTTGCGAGCTGCCATGTAGGTGCTGGGAATTGAACCCGGGTCCTCTGGAAGAGCAGTCAGTACTCTTAACCATTGAGCCATCTTTCCAGCCCCTAATTTTAACTTTTTTATATCTTCATCCATGTATTTCAAATTTGTTCTTATCATCTTTTTATTTATAAGACAAGAAGAAAATATGCTATTAAATTTGTACTTCTGAATAAGAAATGTGATCTAATAGGGAATATTTGTCTGTGCTCAACTTTCCATGAGGAACCTCAGAAAAAACTGGGATAATGAGATTTTTGACTTGTTGGTAGCATGTTAATGTCTTGTCTAAAGATGATAGAATTATTTACTTTGCAACATTTTCCCCAAGCCTAAGAATTCATACTTATTGTTTTGTGATTCATAACTTCTGTTTTTGACTAGAGTTATACACACCCCTGGCCACACCGATGACCACATGGCTCTATTCCTGGAAGAGGAAAATGCCATATTTTCTGGGGATTGTATCCTAGGAGAAGGAACAACGATATTTGAAGACCTCTATGATTATATGAACTCCCTGAAGAACTTATTAAAAATCAAAGCTGATATTATATATCCAGGTGAGTAGTGGTTTTTAACCTAGCAAGCCATCTTTTCACATGAGAAAGAATGTTCATTTGGCTTATATCTGAGTTGACATATATAGAGACAACTTGAAGTTTTTGTATTAACATATGCTAAGGGTTCAAGTACTTGGTTTCAGGATGGCATTTTCATGCATCTGTTATAAAATGTACCTTCATCATATTTACCTTCATTTCCCTCTTTTACTCCCTTTTCCCACTGTTCCTCTCCTGCAACTTTCATTTTTTGAAGATTTTATTTTTTAATAATGTATATGTGTCCGAGTGTGGATTTGCACATCTTAGTGCGGTGCCTGTGGAGGTCAAAAAGGGTCGCCTGGTTCTGGCAGGTGTGAGCTTCCCGACTGGAGTTCAGGAAACTGGACCCAGGCCTTCTGTGATGGAAGTTCATGCTCTTCCCTTGGATCTGTCTCTCCAGCCACCTCATTCCTTTTCTTTTTTTAATCTTGACTACAGTTTCTTCTCCCTCCTCTCTTCCCAGTCCCTCTTCCAACCTCACTTCCTCCCACCCACCTCCAAGCCTCTCCTCCTCTGTTTCTCTCCAGAAAAGGGCAAAATTCCCATGGATATCAACCAAACATTGCATATCAAGTTGCCATAAGACTAGACATCTCTCCTCATATTAAGGCTGGATGAGGCAACCAAGTATGAGGGAAAGGGTCCCAAAAGCAGGTTAAAAGAGTCATAGACAGCCCTGTTCCCACTGTTTGAAGTCCTACAAGAAGATCAAGCTACACAACAGTAACATATATGCATAGGGCCTAGGGCAGTCCCATGCCAGCGCCCTAGTTGTTGCTTCAGTCCCTGTGAGCCCTATGAGCTCAGGTTAATTGATTCTGTGAGTTTTCTTGAGATGTCCTTATCCCCTCTCGTTCCTACAATCCTTCCTCCCCCTCTTCCTCAGGATTCCCCAAGCTCCACCTAATGTTTGGCTGTAGGTCTGCATCTGTTTCCATCAGTTACTGGATAAAGGCTCTGATGACAGTTGGACTAGGCACCAGTCTATGAGTAGAGCAGAATATCGTTAGGAATCATTTTACTGGCCTTTTCTTTTTTCCAATCATGTTTGGTTTGATCTAGATGCTACATATGAGAGAAACGCATGATACTTTCTGAGGTTGACATAATGATCCATCCATTTTCCAGCAAATGATTTCACTCTTATGGAATAATAAGATTCTATTATATATAGATACTTTTTTTTTCATTTCCTTTCATTCATCAACAGGCACCTGTGCTGATTCCAGAACTTGCTGTTGCAATTAGTGCCAAGATAAGTGGGCATTTAGGTATGCCTGCTGCATGTGACTGTTCATCTCTTTGGGTAGATGCGCCACCACGATACATCATGTGATAGTGCTCTTTGTAACTTGGTTGGTTGTCCAGTTTGGTTTGGTAGCTTTGACAGTATTGAGGGTGGAACGCAGGGCCTTGGACATGATACGCACTGCCTCGGAGCTATATCCCACCTCTGTTTTTCATTTTTTGACGAACTACCATGCTTATTTCTATATTGACCATACTAACTTACAGTTCCATCAGCAGTGTTTAATGGCTCCCTCCCCATCCTCGCTAGCATTTCTTGTTTTTTCTCTTCCGGTAGCCATTGTGGCTACCAGGGAAGTAGAATCTCAATGTAGTCTGGATTTGCATTCCTCTGGTGGCTGGTGATATTAAATATTCTTTCCATGTATTTATTATCTGTTTGTACTTCTTCAAATTTGCTTCTTTGAGGCACTTTTTTGGATGTGGTGTATGCTGCAACCCTAGATCTTAAGGTAAGAGGATTACTATAAATTCAAGGCCATCTTCAGTCACAGAGCAGATACCAAGCCAGAACAACATAAGATCCTGTCTATTCCTACTTACTGTCTGGATCATTTGTTCTTTTAGTGTTTGGTTATGTCTTCGTGTGTGTGTGTGTGTGTGTGTGTGTGTGTGTGTGTGTGTGTAAGAGAGAGAGAGACACAGAGACACAGAGACACAGAGACAGAGAGAGACAGAGATTGAGAAGTTGGTGGCGGCAAAGATTCCTCCTGGTCTGTAGGCTGTCTGTTCACCACACTGATTGTTTTCCCTATTGGCACAGAGCTTTTTTAATCTCCCCTCTTCAAGAGTCCATTGCTTGAGCTGCAGAGCTCTTTCCAGAAGCTTCTCCCCACGCCTTCCTTTGGAAGTGTTTGCCACATGTTCTGCTCTAGTAGTTTCAAAGGTTTGTGTCGTACAATGAGACCCTTGATCTATTTTGAATTTCTGGTTTACAAGGTAAGAGACGGGGATTTTGTTTCATTCCTCAGCATGTGTGTCAGTTTCCCTCACTGTTTGCTGCAAGGTTGTATTTCCACCATTGTGTTTTGGCTCCTTAGTCAAGAATCAGGTAGCATAGCTGAGGGGGTTACTCTGGGGTATTTCACCAGTCTGTGTACCAGTTTTGATGCCAGAACCATACTGTTTTTGGTATGATAACTCTGTATAATTTGAAATCAGATATCATGATACCATCAGCATTGCTTGGGTTTGCTTTGGCTATCTAAGGTCTTATGTCAATAAATTTGATAACTGTTCTTTCTGGTTGTATGAAGGATGTTACCAGAATTTTGATGGCGATTTGCATGGAATCTCTTTATCATTTTGGCTAATAAGGCTCTTTTCACAATATTTAATCTGCCAGTCCTCGTAATTGTGTCTCCCTCTGGTTATTTCTACAGTGCATCTATGACTTGAAAAGGCCCTTCCCTAGTGACTGACTTCTGCTACCTAGACCACCTCTGAGAGATCCCACACAGGCCCAAAAGAAAGGAGCACTAGCTGGCTAGGTGTGCAGGAGACAAGCTTATGGGAGTTCACACTCAGACCACACTGTATTTCTTTCTCTTTGCTATTGGCTCAGCTAAGAATTCAAACACCATATTGAATTAGAATGAAGACAGTGGACATCTGTAGCACAAATAATAAAAGCTCAGAGTCAGATATTGGGGTTCAAGCTGAATATCAGTAAAGTAGCCAGCCACTAGAGTTCTTAACCTCTACCATGGCTGTGAGATCCTGTCCTCAGTGTGACTGTGGACTGACCACAGACTGAGAACCTGAGTCCTGTCTCCTCCATTTTATATTCCCCTCTAGTGCTGGGATTAAAGGCGTGTACCACAACCGCTTGGTCTCTATAGCTAACTAGTGTGACTGCTGGGATTAAAGGCTTGCACCATCACTGTCTGGCCTGTATGGCTGACTAGTGTGACTGCTGTGATTAAAAGTGTGTTCCACCACTGCCTGGCCTGTATGGCTGACTAGTGTGACTAGCTTTGTGCTCTGATCTTCGGGCAAGCTTTATTTATTAAAACACAAATAAAATATCATTATAGACACCCTTGTCCTGTTCTTGAATTTAGAGGAAATGCTTCGTTTTTCTCCAGTCTGTACATTAGCCACTATGGATGTCATACATAGCCTTTATTGTGCTCGAGTCTGGCGTTCCTAGTCTGTGTTCTTCAGGGCTGTTAGCACAGAGGGAAGCTGAATTTTGTCAGCCTTCTCTGCTTCAGATGATACGGGCATTTGATTTTTGTCTTTGATTCCATTTCTGTACAGTGTTGTGTTTGCTACTTGTATGTTTTGAACCACTCTAGAATTAAATCAATTTGATCATGATAATATGGTATTTTATGGTGTTATTTAATATAGTTTGCTAGGGTTTTCATTTTGTTTTAGGATTTGTGTTCATTAAGGACATTGGCCTTTTTCCTTTTGTTGTTGGATCATTGCCCAGCAGCATCAGCAGCAAGGTAGCCCTGGGTTATTGTCCGGGGTCTGGAAGGGTTACTTCCTCTTGTGTCTTTTTATCTCTTTATCACAATATGGAACAGTTTGAGGATTGTCTTAGTTAGGGTTTCTGTTGCTGTGAAGAGATACCATGACAATGGCAACTCTTCTAAAGGAAATAGTTAACTGAAGGAGTTTGCTTACAGTTTCAAAGGTTCGGTCCATTATCATCATGAGGGGAGCATGGTGGCTTGCAGGCAGATGTGGTACTGTAGTAGCTGAGTTCAACGTCCTGCAGGCAACAGGAAGTTGACTGAGACACCAGGATATCAGGGCGATATCCTGAGCATAGGAAACCTCAAAGCCCGCCCCCACAGTGACACATTTTCTCCAACAAGGCCATGCCCACTCCAACAAAAACATACCTCTTGATAGAACTGCTCCCTGTGAGATTATAGGAATGAGTTACATGCAGACTACCACAAGGACCGTTGGTACTAGCTTTCATTAAAGGACCGGTGCTCCTCTGTAGTGAATTCTTCACACCCTGGCTTTTCTTCCTCGAGGGCCTTCAACTTTATTTCCCACTACACATCTGTTTGGTTGTTTCTGTCCTCTTGTTTCGACTTTGGGATATCATATGTGGCTAGAAATTGATTCATTTATTTTTGATGATCCAATTTATTAGACTAATTTACAGATTAATGTACTGTGATCTGAAGTTCAGTAGGCTCCCACAGTGTGTCCTTTCTTATCTTCAGTTTCATTTAACTCTTATCTCCTCCTTTTGCTTAGTTTGGTTAAGGATTTGAGAATCTTGCCCTTTTTTTTTTTTTAAAAAAAAAAAAAGTAGCTCTCTTGTTGGTCCTTTGTATTTTTCAGTCACCATTCATATTCACTAGTTTCTCCTCTGAGATGTTTTTATTTCTATTTATTAATCTTGGGTTTGACTTTTCTTATTTGAAGACATCAAGTTGCTTAATTTGGTTACTTGTTCTATATCTCTGGCATTTAATGTTTATTTACATGTGTTTATTTATATGGTATGTGTACACATATGTGCGTACATGGCACACATGTGGAGATCAGAGGACAACTTTCAGGATTGTTTCCCCCCTTCCACCATGTGGCTCCTGGGTGTCAAGCTCTGGTCAGCAGACTCAGAGGCAATGGCTTTTACCCACTGAGCCATCGACTGGCTCCTCTCCGATTTCTTAATGTGGAGCTTGCATGGCTTGCATGGCTGTTGTGTGGCTTCTCGTGAGATGCAGATTAATTTAGTTTGCACTCGAAATGGGAAGTTTTTAAAGGCTAACTTCACTGAGTGTATAATAGGCTTGGTTGACAGTTACTTAGTCTCGGGGCTTGAAATGCGTCAGTCTGTGCTTCCCAGGCCTTAGGGTTTCTGCTGACGTGTCTGCTTTTATTCTAAAAGGTTTTCCTTTGTAACTTGACATGCCCTGTGCAGCTTCAGCATTCTTTAATTGTTCTGTACTCTGGGCATTCTCACTACACTGCGATGGAAAGGCTGCTTTCTGGTCATGTTTGTTGAGGGATTCTAAATGCCTCCTGAATTTGAATGATCATTTCTTCCCCTCCTTTTAAGGGTTAATCTGCTATAACAGTACTGAATACGTTTTCTGAGTCTCTTGTCAGTAACTTAGTTTCTTTTTCAACAGTACACACACATTTCATAGGCGTGGTCTCCATCTGTTCCAGAGGTCCTGAGTGTTGTGGCCATGGTTGCTGTCGTTTCTTTTTGAGTCTTATTGATATTTGAACGTAATAATGTGTTAATGTCGTCAATTCTTGGTGCTCTTTCTCCTCGCTAGTACTGGGTCTTCCTTCACATTAGCGCCTCCTTGTGTCAGGAGCCACTGCAGCCCCAGCTTTTATGGCCTTTGAAGCTAGACAGGTTCTCACCTGCTCCAGAGGTCCACCAGTTTTTGCACCCGGAGGTGGCAAATTTCTAAGCCAAGGTGGTATCCACACATGTGTCAGTTTCTCAGTGGACGTGAAAAACTGAAGAAACTCAGCAGTCTGACCGCTAGCCTCAGCCCCTCCAGGCACTGCCAAGCGCTGAAGCACCCCGCAGGAGGAAGGCCAGCAGGCAAGGCTACTGCTCTCCCATCCCTGGCCTCAGAGCTCTCAGTCCTGCACTGACACAGACAGAAAGGCAGCTCCCAAGGCCAAGCAGTCAGCTCTCCATCAGCAGTACAGTACGTTCCTGACCGTACAGAGCAGGGCCACCAGTCACAATCCCGCAGCCCATGCTGTTCCTGCTTCCTGGGCTTCTCAGCAAATTCCCGTTTAGCCCTTCTCTGTCTGCATCACAGCCTCTTCCATGCAGACAGACAGCGGCCAGCCTGCCTCCCATCTCCCTCCCTTGTGATAACTCTTTGATTCCAGGTCCCAGCATAGCTCCGTCTCAAACAAGCCCACAGTGGGCCATAGCTCTCCAACGTGTGGGAACAAAGTAATAGGTTGCTGCTTCACAGTTGGTCTGCTGCACAGGAGTCTCCGTCACACTGAATCCCCCACTGGACTTAAAGCCTTCAGGAACCACGGGTTTCTCCAGCAGCTGGACAGTCTGTTGACATCAGGCCTCCTGCCTCCCTTCCCTTGGGATTGCAGTTCAGCTTCTCTGCTCAGGAGCTGGGGGTGGAGCTGAAGATGGTTTCCACACCTTTGTGTTTCTTCCTGCCTCTTCCATATCCCTGTACCTCTCTCCTGATTCCCAGTGCTCTTCCCGTCCTCCCCCTCATCACCCTGACTCTTGTCTGGAGTTAAACAGAGGAAGCCCCCAGCCACCATCTCACCTGAGAAGCCCTACCCTACTTCTTTAAATTGCACGCTTGGTTCTGTCCTGGCTGAGAGCATGTCCATTTTCTGTAAGTTTTCTTCAGCTCCACACAGCTGAACTGCTGAAACAAAACAAGCTTACAAGGGAATAGGAAATGCTTCAGTCCCTGTTGTTTTTATTTACCGACTTCTCTCATCAACCACAGTTTAGCTGCGAAATTTTGGGTAACACTTGCCCTCTGTACTTTAACTCACAATGTTGACATGACAGGTTTCCATAGCAACTATAAAATGGTACATTTCCACTCTCCAGAAGAAGAGCCCTGTTATATGTCAGATAGCACTGCACGGCTTGCAATATGAATGTTCTCTCCATCGTAGACGCTAAGAAAAGCCCAGCAAGAGTCCCAGAAGGGAAAGGGGGATTGGTTCATTTTCTAACTCGCTCCTAACAACAGCCATGGAAAGAGCTGTCAGGACACTTGCATTTTCTCTTGAGTTCTGGGTGCCTAGGAAATAGTAAATGCACCGTGTAGCTGGGCATGTGTGTTATCATGGCATGAGAGGAGTAGGCACCGACGGCTGCATGAAAGGCAGAAGGAGTGGCTGCTCAAGGCACTCCCAAGCCAGGCCAATGAGAGGCTGCCTGCAAAGGTTCTCAGCGTGTTGGGATCCAATGACCCTCACGCGTCAGTGGCAGGGGAGTTGTTCTTCTGTAAACTATACTCAATCAGCATTGCTACCGTACAGTTAAGACTGCTTCCCTGCAGGTATCACGCAGGGCCTTTATAGCTATGTGCTCACTGAAGCCCTGTCAAGTAGGTGCTGGTATGTGCACAGCCAAAGAAACAGGCTCAAAGAGAAGGCTTCCTCCCGGCTAAGAAGGAAACAGCCGATACAAACCCAAGTCCAGCGCTCTTTGTGTGGTTCTCGGTTAGCCTGTTTTGTTTGGTTGGTTTTTGGTTTTTAGGTTTTTTGGGTTTTTTGTTTTGTTCTCGAAGATTTAAAATATCCCTTTTGTGGACTTCTGTTGTACCATACTGGACTGTTTAAAGCGCAGGCGGATTTCAGTGTAACTGCATCTGGGTTGTTACAGGTTCTGAACTTGTAACATTTGCTCTATTTTCCTTCTACCCTGGGTCTTGGACACTTTTGTATTCTCCCTTTTCAGTCTTTTGTTCATAAGCTTACTACAGTGGTTAAGACAGCACCCATAGTGCTCAAAAACTGCCTAGTAGGAATCTCAGCTCCACCCCTTCTTCACTATACAGCCGCAGGCAGGTTCTGTACCTTCCTGTGGATAGTAATAATACCTACCTCATGGATCCTTGAAAGTACACAGTACTTCAAGTACATGGGATAATACTGTGTACCCAGTAAATACTACATATCACCTACCATTATTGTGATTACTGTTATAATGCATATACTATTGCTAAAATAGATCGTATATTTTAAGGTCCATAATAACATTATATATTTTTATTTGACATAATTCTCTAAAGGTTTTTGGCATTATGCACATTTTTTATAGTTGCCATCAAAGCTCTCGTTTTCCCCAAGCAGTCTATAATGTAGTGCTTTTTGTTAGCATATATTAGTTATACATAATAATCAGTTTCATTATGACATTTTCATAAGTTTATATAATGTACTCTGAGAGGCTCCCATGTCAGAAGGCTCCCAAGCACTTGTAACAGCAGCTCCAGAGGAGTCAGCGACTCCACAAGCACCCATATCCTCAGACACACACCCACGCAGGAGCTTGGGGGAAGTTGTTTGCAGGAGGGGCATTGGCAGTTCACCTTGGCTACACGACATGAGACTGCCCACCACTGAATGTCGTTGACTGCCCCTGCTGAAAGGCCTGTGCCGTAGCTTTCCAAGCAATGAATATTTATCTACTAAATGCTTTTCAGTGCCGCATACGAATTATTCTCAAATAGAGCGAATTAGCTTTGTACTTAGTGTTTTTTATTTGGTTACAGAAACTTGTGTAATTCTTTTAATTCAGGACATGGCCCAGTAATCCACAATGCTGAAGCTAAAATTCTGGAATATATTTCTCACAGAAATAAGCGAGAAGAACAAGTTCTTACATTAATCCGTGATAACTTTGAAAAATCATTTACAGTGACTGAACTTACAAAAATGATTTACAAGGTAACTTTCTTTCATCTTATCTGTACATGACTACTGTTTCCTGGGGTATTATTCAGTAAGCTATGTGGTAAACTTAATATATCCCAGGTGAAAAGAAGTCTTTTGACTATGCAAGTAATGCTAATTGTCTTGACTTGAAACCAGTAGTTTAAGTTGAAAAGTGTCCATAGATAACAAGAATCGCCATCCTGAGCCATCATTAAACCCTACTCACCTGACTCAGCAGGAGAAACTGCTCTTGAGTTTTGTAATGACACACACTATTCTAGCCATCTTGGCTATCCGGTGTCCAAGCCTTCAGTAAATAACACAGAGTGATCTTCTAAGCAGAAACAAATAAAACAAAAAAAAATCCGAGGATGATGGCAGTGGGAAGTTGTAGGCGAACGATGGAAAATGGGCATCAAAACCATGAATAGAATACTCTCTGTAAGGAAGAACTCCACAGCTCAGTGGTGGCCTCTAGTTGCATCCCTGGAGCACTGTGTGGTAGTCAGGCAATGCTGCTCAATGTCCTTACAGGTTCAGCATCTGCTGTGCAGGCAGTGGAGCTTAGTGACTCAGTGTCCAGTCCCGTATGGTGGATACAGTGAAGCAGAGATGGGGTACATAGTGTTGAGTTTATACGGTAGCCTGGAGATGGTAGCAGTGAGAGTAAAGGACTTTAACATACCGTGGACTTAAGTCAGTGTGCCCCATTCCAAAGAGAATGATGAGCAGATGAAAAACTCCCTTTGGCTGGGGTATAGCTCAAGAGCAGAGCGTTAGCCCAGCGTTTTCAAAGCCCTGGTTCAGGATGCCCAGCACTATCTGGAAAAAAAGGCATTGGGAACATGAATACAGTATTTTCTCTGGGGCCGAGAGATGGGTCAGGCACTGCAGTGTTTGCTGTGCAAGTGTGAGGAGCTAGGTCATCCCCAGAGGCTAAAGTTACAGTGCGTGCCTGGAATCCCAGTGCCGGGAGGCAGGGGCAGGAGGATTCCTGGAGCTTGTTGCTCAGCCAGGTGAGCTGAATCAGGGAGAGATCCTTCAAAACCTAAGGTGAAGAGCAATCAAGGAAAACACCCCGTGTCAACATTTAGCTTCAGTATATGCACGCGTGCACACACATGCACAGACACAGTGGACAGAACGCATCGAAATTGTGTGAAAGAGCTCATTGCCCTCTAATACTAGTGTGTAGCCATTCTTAACTATACATTGCTACATTGAGGGTTTCCCCCAACCTAAGTACAGTCAGCAAAACTCTCTCATACCCTGTCACAGATGAATCATCAAGTAATTGCTCATGCCTAAATAAATTGATTCTTCATTCAGGAGTATATTCCATGTATGCACAGAAGCATAGTCACCATGCTAGTGTGTGAAACACCTAATGCATGCAAAAGGCATGAGATAGCCGAGTGGCTTATTCATTCAGCATTTATTCTGTATTTTGTCACACACTAGAGCAGGTTCAGAAATACATAGATAACTATGGACCATTGTCTTCAAGGGGTCCAAGGATTGGCAAAAACAGACCAATTTCAACAGGTATGGCTCTGCCATAACACTCGCCTCCACTGAGCACACTAAACATGTTAGACACTATGCAAAATGTTTTATATAGGTTGAGCATCCTTAATCCAAAATACTCTAATCCTTCAAAGGCTTCATATGTTGGAGCATTTTGAATATTTAAGTCATATTTTTTCCACACCAAACTTCAGGTTCTACACCTTTTTTTTTTTTTTTTTTTTTTGCTTTTTCGAGACAGGGTTTCTCTGTGGTTTTGGAGCCTGTCCTGGAACTAGCTCTTGTAGACTAGGCAGGCTGGTCTTGAATTCACAAAGATCTGCCTGCCTCTGCTGGGATTAAAGGCGTGCGCGCCACCACCGCCCGGTTTATACACCATACTTTAAGACACAAAAATTGAAATCAGTTTTACCTAGTGACACTGCAGAGAAATGAGTTTTGTCTAAAGAAGTAAGCATTGTCTAGGCCAAAGGAGAGCAGAGAAGAAGTCATTCTAGGTAGTGAGGACATGTTCAGACACTAGAGCAATGGTAAGCCACTGTGTTGGCAAAGCCAAGAAGACATGTCCCAGGAGCACAGACTGCAGATGTGGACAGACAGACGAGCATCCCAGAAGACGAGGTAGGAAGAGTGGATGAGATCAGATCACAAGAAGACTTCACTGCCAGCTAAGAGTGCTAGTGGTGCCCAATAATCTGGGAATGACCACTTTCAGATCCTGCGTGGGTAACTTAGGTGTTGAGATCTAGAAAACCACAGTGGTGGAGGGTCGGTTTATGGCATTGGTGCTTAAAGGAGAACAGGAGCTGAAAATTCAGATTCGGTGTCACCAGTGCTTATTATTTCTGTGTGTATTCACGGAATGAAAATGAAAGTGGAAACAGAGTATGGGGTCCCACAGCTTTAACCAGAACTCAGAAGGCTGAGTGAGTTTGAGGCCAGCCTTGCAGACGGTGAGAAGCCAGATTGAACTGTCTCAAAAGATAGAGAGAGCCAATGATACAACCCTTTGTAAACACCAGGGCTTCTTTGCAAATATCAATGTTTAAGGTAAATATAGGGGAGAATATGCAAGAGGACTATAAATGCTAAGTGAAATGAGATAAAATGCGGAAAAAGCTGTCTTCGAAAAAGAGAAACAAGCCAGTACAGTGAGGGTACAGTGAGTGAGACAAAGCCATTGAATTTTGACCGAGATAATCTGATAGTCTTGTCAAATAAGATCGGGGAGCTAAGAAACTGCATTCTGGTTCCATCCCATTGCTGTGGCGAGTCACTCTGACACAGCTGCTTGTGAAGAGAAGGATTTATGTGCTGTATCCTTGCAGGTCACAGCCCATCACTCAGGGGAGTCAGGGCGCGAACTCAAGGTGGGAACCATGAAGGAACTGCTTTAGCTAATGTTCTAGTTTTATATAACCCAGGCCCCACCTGCCTAGGGATGGGACTGCCCACAGTAGGCTGGACCCTTCCGGGTCAATTGATAATCAAGACAGGCCCCCACAGACACGCCTATGGGACAGTCTGGGCTAGACAGTTCCTCACCTGAGGCTCTCTGGTCAGATGCCTGTGGACTATGTCGAGATAACGATTAAAGCTAACTAGGACACAGAGATAGTAAGAGAAAATTGACTTCATAATTACAATCCTTATTTAAAGAATAAAGTACGTTTTCTCTTTATTCAAATGGCATGTCAATATTACATTATTATTTTAGCAAGAGTAACAGGAAACCATGAGTCATAAGGTACAAAGATATTATCATAATACCGAAAAAAGTATAAAGCAGATTCAAAAACTATTTGAATACTAAGAATAATTCTGATACTTATAAATATCATTTATAAATATTAATGAGTTTCTACTGTGTGTCCGTATGCTACACACTAGGAATTCAGCAGTGAACAAAATAAGGCACTGCTTATTTATATTATTGTTTTTATGGCATTTAATCGCTTTTATCTGTAGAAATATAAAAGGATGGTCTAAAGCAAGAACATTTGCAAGATAGAACTAGTTTAGGTTGGTATGGTTTTTTGTTTATCTGATTTTGCTTTTTTGAGGCAGGATCTCGTGTGCAGCTGGCTGGCTTCACAAAGTAGCCAAGTCTGACCTTGAACCTTTGGCTGCCCTGCCCCCACCTCTGAGTGCGGAGGTTACCAGGACTGGACCTGGGTTTTGAGTCTGGTAGGAAAGCTCAGCTGAGCCATATCCCTGACCTCAGTTAGCCCTAAAGTGTGCTCAGGTTAACATCCTTTTCTGTTGTGTGTGTGTTGTTTAAAGATTCCAGACAACTAAGTGTCCTTCAGAAATGAGACTCCTATGCATCCCTGTTTTCTTTTCAGAATGTTCCAGAGAATTTACAGAAGATGGCAGAGCATAATCTCCTGCTTCATCTGAAGAAACTAGAGAGAGAAGGGAAAATATGTATGTATGCTTCTGAGTGTTAACGCGTTTACTACCGGCATTCAGACGTTTCTGCAGGTGCATGAGTTCCACCTTAAAACAGCAGCCCCTGAGTCCTCCCATGAGTGTCCCTGAGTCCTCCCATGAGTGTCCCTGAGTCCTCCCATGAGTGTCCCTGAGTCCTCCCATGAGTGTCCCTGAGTCCTCCCATGAGTGTACCTGAGTCCTCCCATGAGTGTCCCTGAGTCCTCCCGTAGTGTCCCTGAGTCCTCCCATGAGTGTCCCTGAGTCCTCCCATGAGTGTCCCTGAGTCCTCCTGTAGTGTCCCTGAGTCCTCCCGTAGTGTCACATTCAGGGGAGAGGACTCAAGAGGATCCAGACCCTCCTGCCCTCACGGCATCACGGCTGTGCACCAGGAGGATGGCCTCTTCTAGACATGTGGGACACCTGAAAACAGGCACAGGTCTTAAGTGTTAGTAAGAATAGTGACATCAGAGATAGTAAAGCGTCCTATAATTATTTCCTTATGGTAATTAATTTGTCAAATCAGGCATTCGTATAAATGTTTAGTCCTTAAAATTGAGAAGTCCGCCCAAGCTTGAATGTTGTTGAAAGCCTCAGTCATGCTTACATACAAGAAGAAACTCACATTATAGTCATCAACAAAATTCCTTAAAGAATGTGTATCTCTCATTACAAAATAATTGAAAGCCCAGTTGGACATACTTAGCTTTTGTTTTTCTTTCCGGTTTTCTTTCTGCAGTTCACAACACAGAGCCTGATAAGAAGTGGAGAGCTGTCCTTTAGTGTCAGGCGGCGAAGCTGGCTTGCTTGCTGGTAGAGGGTGGTATGTTCTTTTAGCTGTAGATTATTCATAGAGAATATCGAATGTGGGACTTTAAATAACCCTCAATATCTTTCTAAAGTATGTAAATTATATTGTACATCTGTAGGGCAGGTTATTGATGTAATCTTGGCCTTGGAACATTTTACTGAATCTTTGTCAATTTCCTATGCATTAAGTAAAATGGTTACTTAATAATAAAATTTGCACAGTTCAAAGTAGTTACTACTTGAGTTTGGATATGTATTAGCATCTGTCAGCAGCACAGATGTCTACATACTCCTTTTCTTCAACCCTGTCTATACCTTATACATACCAAGTTTATTTCATGTTTTTCTCAATTATATCATTTCGGTATTGATTCTACAATTCTGTGTTATGTTTGTTTTCTTACGATGGCATCCATTAATGATTCATAAGTTTATCATTGAAAAAATATTAAACATACCAACTTGAAATACTATGTGATTAATAATTATTTTTAAAGATTTATTTTTATTTTATATGTACGGATATTTTGCCTGCATGGATGTCGGTGTGTTGTTACATGCATACAATGTGCACAGAGGCCAGAAGAGGGCATCGGAGCCCCTGGAACTGGAGTTCCAGATGTTGTTAGCCACCATGAGGGTGTTGGGAACCACACCACATTCCTCTGCAAGACTAGCCAGTGCTCTGAAATGCTGAGCCATCTCTCCAGACCCTGAATAATTATTTTTGTAATTCATTAGTACAACCAACCAACATGCTTTGCACATTTAGATTTTAGTGCAGAAATACTCATCAGTTTATATATGTTATATATCAAAGTGTTTTCTTTTCACTAGAAAAATATCAATAACATTCTTAAGAAATGGTTAGATTAGCAGTGGTGTGTAGTAATGTCCTACAAATTGAAACATTCCGTTCTGGGGGAGGTTCCTAAGACTCAGGAAGTAAATTAAATTTACAGGGCTCAGGAAGTAAATAACTTGCGAGTCTCAGGAGTTTCCTGAAATTTTAATTCACTAAGTCCCTCCCCAAGGTTGTCTAAGCAATAATGATGGCTGGGGAGAAAGAGCTTTGTGGCCGCTTGGGCTCCCTCCAAGCCATGCAGGGGAGCTGCAGGAATGCAGCCTTCACGAGCCAGCACACCTGCTGGAGTGGGCTCTTCAGTCCTGCAGCTGCCTCTGGGTCAGCCACCTGCCTAAAGGGAGCTTCACCACATACTGGAAGTAACCCGTTAAACTCAGTGTTCACTGAGCGAGGCTTCCGTAAATCAGTTCTCTTGTCTGCCTTTCTCTTCTGTTCTGAATAGACTTCTCATCTTCACGGACAACCCTGTGCAGTATGATATGGTTCAGCAATGCTTAATCTCCCAGTACAGGTGCAAGCTATAATACTAAAATAAGTTCAGAATTCTGGGTGTATTATTTCCTTACTCCTCCTTTAAAGTAAGATTTCAGTTTATAAACAAAATCTGTTCTTAGCACCTTCACCTCCCAGCATCTTTATGCAATCTTAATACATTTGTTCTTGGTCCATGGAAGTAAGTGTTCCATACCACAAAATAACTATAAACGGAGCAGTTAAAAGCCAGTGACCAGATTCACAAATGGACAATTTCCCCAAAGAAATTGGGCATCTGCCCAAGTGAAGAGATGTTTAGCATCACACACTAACTAGCACAAATCAGAACCGCGGGTACCGCTTCCTGCCTATTTAGATAGCTGTGGACTTCCAAAAGTGAGGAAAGAGCAGCTGCCGGGATGTGGAGAAAGTGGAACCTTTATATACAGCTGATGGGGTGGTAAAATCGTGTGGCCTCCTCAAAAAAAATAAAACAGAATTACAGGATGGCTGAGCATTCCGCTTTTGAGAATCATTCCAAAAAGCTGTCTTAAACAGGTATCTGTGAAGCTAACAGAAAAACGTCTTAAAAACAAAGGAAAAGCTGGCATATGCTGCACCGTGCGTGAATTCCAAAGACAACACTAAGTGAAATAAGACACCAAAGACAAACAGTGTGATCCCGCTTGCATGAAGCACCGACAGCAGCTGAGTGCAGAGACAGAAGGTAGAATGGTGAATTCCCTGATTTGGAGGAAGAAGAATGGAGAAACTCTCATTTCTGCAAGCGACAACGTAAAAGTTCTGAGCGTGAAGGGTGTTACCAAGTAGTATCCCTAAAACAGTCAGTCATCTAAGTGTCCTCCATAATGCCACCACCAAACACTAACAATGTGAGCACATATCAATACAACTGAGACAGAGAGAATATAACTTTCTTGGTATGCGAATAATTAGCTTACCTCTTACCTTGCTTCCCGTCATTCCCAGAGGGGTGAATATAAACACCATCCAAACTGGTCAGGTCAGAACACAGAAGACTCACTCTGCTCTGCCTCCTTCTCTCATGTCCAACTCTTCCCTGGCCCAGCTCCACAATTCATCACTCCCACAGTCGGAGCTGCTTAGTCCTAGCCATCCTCCTGTCTTCCTGACCCAGTAAGATGCCTGCTAACTCTTAGCTCCCTCCTCCGTTCTTGAAAGAGGCTGGGGAGAAGATAAAGAGGGCATTTTGAGTTGAGGAAATCTCATTTTAACATCCATACACCTGCTACCTTGCTATGGCACACTTCAGATACTGTACATTGCAAGTAGACCTTTTCAAAGAAGGGGGAAGGATGGGAAGCTACTAAATCTATTAGTCATTTCAAGAGCCTAGCAACCGAGCTCTAACAAAAGCAGTGACATATATATATATATTAAAGGCTCTGTGCTGGGGACTGCGCCAGATACTGAGGAGACAAAGGTGAACGGAGCAGCATTTGGACTCTCAGAGTGAGCTCATCGCTTTGTTGTCAAGACAATGTGAGCACCGCTGGGTTTGTTTGGAGCAAAGGAAGAGTATATAACCTGGGGGAGTTATAGAAGGCAGCTAAGGGGCGCCTGAGCTCCGTCTGCACAAAGCAAGTGGTAGTCACATGAAAATGCAATGTTGGTTTGGAGGAGACGTGTTCCAGTGCACATAGACAGACAGAGAAAGACATCCTGTGGTTGAACTAATTCGTGTAGCTCGAATATATGGTATTTGTGATTGAGGTCACAGAGCTACTCCGAATCTCATGAGAGCACTGAAATCACAGGAACCAGCATACTAGAGTCACAGATCATGGGGCCCAGCTGTAATCCCAGGGGTACTCCGGAGAGTGAAGCTGGAGGGATTTAGTTCAAGGTCAGCCTGGGGCATATAGTGAATTCCCTGTCTCTAAAATAAGTGGAGATGTATATAAAGTAAGTGAATATATATACCCATGCTTTGCACAATGGACTACAGTGATCTTGAGCTGTAGGGAATACATTCCAATACCTCTAGTGGAGAGCAGGTGATCCCACAGATGGTACTGAATCCTGCACACACTACAGTGAAGTTTGGTGTATAGAGACAGTAGGAGGTTAACAACGACTAGTGATACAGTAGAGCGATACCAGTGTAGTGTAATGAAGACAGGCGCACCACCAGGTGTGGTGACACAGGCCTTTGATCCAGCGCTCGGGAGGCAAAGGCGCATGGATCTCCGGGTTTTTGAGGCCACCCATAGAGTTCCGGGCCAGCCAGGGCTACATAATGAGAAAGAAAGAAAAAGGTAAGTACTCTTTGTCCCTTTCTCCAGGTATCTTACTGTTTTTTTCTCTTAAAAGAAGCATTTTCCAGCTTCTCTTGGGCTTAGCTAATTTGCCAGCATCACTACTTTTATACTTTGAACACGATTAAGTAAAATAAAGGTTACCTGCATACAAGCACTGATTGCAATCCTGTGGCGAGCTGGTGATCCATGGGGCCACTAAGTAACTAACAGTCACAGCGCATGCACTGCACATAATGGGATGAAGGATGATTCACGTCCTGAGTCGCCCAGGACAGGACGATAGGGGGTCTCACCTCATTACCCGGGGCAGTGTGCAGTGCAGGTTCCAGGGCCTAGCAGGGCTAATGGAATGATCTAGGATGATTGTGCCTCAGTAGCAAGTGTTTGCCTGCTGCCGTTATAGCTACGCCATCCCTGTTTCTGGCACTTCACTTCCCCATTCGGTGTAGCCAGTAGCTTTGGGTTACTCATTTCTGTTTACTCGAGACTTTATACAGCCCTTTCAGCACCTCTGCCCTCTCTCTTTTATAACCTCAGGTTGTTTGCAGCTCAGTAGCTCTTTATGTCCCAGTTGGAACTGAGAGGACCTAAGCAAATATTGACTCTTGAGTTTTCACCATGTTGTCTTACATGTTCAGGGCCAGCCTGCGAAATTGCCATTCAAAACAGCCATCCAGCTAAGAACCTTACACACACAGGCATTGGGCAAGGTGAGGTTTGCAATGCAGAACAGGAAGTACAAAAGCAGAGACAGGTTTCAAAGGAATGGAGGACGGCAGATATGAGTGCTACTTAAAAAAGAGAAATAACACCCAGGGGAGTTGGGGCCGTGGCTCATAGGCCAAGCATGATAATTTTGAGTTTGGATTCCCAGTGCCCACGTGAAAAGCCAGGCATGAGAATACGCCTGTAATTTCAGCATTGGAGAAGCAAAGGCAGAGGGATCATTAGAGTCCACTGGCTAGCCCATCTATCCAGTCAATGAAGTTTAGCTCCCATGAGAAACCCTGTCTGAGGAAAAAGGTGGAGAAAAGATTGACGAGGACACCCAGCATCAACCTCTAGCCTGCACACCCAGTCAGATGGCCCCATGGCCACATAAAAAAAAAGAAAAAGAAATAGTACCCAAACTGCTGTTCGATCTTTGAAAATGGGAGTCACGTAGAAAGACATCTTAAGGAAGCTGTGGATGCCTGGTTTGACCCTGAGTAGATACTGATCAGCAGTAGAAAGGACGAAAGGCGCAGGTGCCACTGCACACCACGTGGAAGACAGAAAAGATGGATTTCACTGCAGCTACGAGTCTGAAGTACCTGAAAACACCCAGCATGCACAAAGAATACAGAGATGGAACCTAGCAGATGAGGTATATTTTGATGTGGAATGGAAGCTCTTGTGATCAGGCACGAGGTTGGTCGGTACAGGGAACTGGCCATCAGGGATGAGAGGGACAAGAACAAGAATCTCTCACCTTCCCATCTCTTTTGCAGATCAAAGACTCTCGGTATATTGGCTTATGCACAAGATGGGGGACCTGGCCATGGGCAGCCCTGAGCTGCTACCCTACCAGCAGGAACAGCTGGCTCTTCCAGCTTCCATATGGAAAAGTCTTAGGGAAAAGAGTCAGTGACTTAGGCTCCCTACCCATTCCTCTGGTCAATCCACGTGGCCCCATGTTAGTGGCATGCCTACCCTGATGGCTGAAGTGAGGAAGGTGCCCTCCAAGGAACAGTGTCCCGGGAAGACTGTGGACACACCCTGCCTGCTGACCTCAAGGTTTCCTTTCTGAATGTGTGAGCAGTGTTTGAGAAATCAGTCGTAAGCTG